AAAAAAAAAAAAAATGAAAGTAAGGCAATGTAATTCTGCTTCTAAAAATCTCTTTGGCACCCATCCCACTGCCCTGGTCCATGACCAAAGGCATCTCTCACAGGGGCCCTGCCGTCACCTAAGTTCACTTCCTCCATTCAGTTGTCACATCAACACTGGTCACAGCAGTCAGGGAAGAAATGTGGGTTATGAGATGATGCGTGGTGGTCTAGTTCCACCTGCATAGAATGGCACGTACAGGGCTATGGAGACACTTACAGATATATATAGAAAAACACAAAAAAGATTAAAAGTGTCTCTCTAACATGTGATCTACTCTTATTATATTTTTGGACACTACTGAGGATTGGGGAAATATCGTTATTAATTGTATAATCACAAAATAATTAAAGCTGCTTCTTAAAGGAAGAAAGCTTTCCATGGAATTCTACTGCAAATAGGATAAAAGTCCAAACTAGCATTTAAGGTCCTCCACCCATGACCAACTTTATCTTCTTCTGTATTCCTGGCACACACCCTAAACTACAAACAACGAGACACTCTGCCCTGATTCAGCCTTCCCAGTCCCACTTCCAAGCCTTGGCCTAGCTTGTTCTTAGAGCTGCTTCTTGAGGACTTCCCAGGTTCCCCCAAACCCCTGCCCTAGAACCAACCCTCTGGTAAGTTTCTGCAGCCTCCATTTCCCAGGGCTAGGGAACATAATTAGGTGGCTGTTTTTCTCTCCTCTACTGAGTAGTAAGTTCTTCAAAGGCAGCTCATGTCTCCTTCACGGAGTACCTGGCTCACAGCCTTGCACCCAAAGATATTCAATAGATGTTTGCTGACATCAATTATAGAAGGGCAGAGCATGATACAGCTGCAGGGTTTACAGAGGTGGGACTTGAAGTGAGTAATATTTAGACAGAAATGATGACTGATCGTGGTATCACTGTATGATAAAACACAAAGACTCAGGGGCTGGGGCTGGGGCTCAGTGGTAGCGCGCTTGCCTGGCATGTGTGAGGTACTGAGTTCAATTCTCAGCACCACATATAAATAAATAAAATAAAGATCTATCAAAAAATTTTTAAAAATGTAAACACACACATACACACACACACATACACACACACACACAGACTCCTCCCAACATCACTTTGATGTTAATTGCTTAATACTACAGGGTATACTGATCCTTAAAGTTCTTCTTTAAATGAGAAAGATGCCTTCTTATTTTGCATTTACTTCCTAAGTGAAAAGAAGAGAATATTTACAACTAAAATCTAGTTGTCACCAGGTACAGTGGTGCACACCTGTAATCCCAGCAACCTAGGAGGATGAGACAAGAGGATTACAAGTTCAAGGCTAGCCTGGGCAATTTAGCAAGATCTTGTCTCAAAATTAAATTTTAGAAAAGGGCTTGAGATGTTGCTCAGTGGTACAGAGCTTGCTTAACATGTGCAAGCCCTGGGTTCAATCCAACACTGAAACAAACAAGTTGTTTAAAAATGAAAGTGCCAGGGGCTGGGGATGTGACTCAAGTGGTAAGAGCAATCGCCTAGCATGTGTGAGGCACTGGGTTCGATTCTTAGCACCACATAAAAATATTGTGTGCACCTAAAACTAAAAAATAAATATTAAAAAATAAAATGAAAATGAAAGTGCCAGGTACAGGGGTGCACACCTGTAATCCCAGCAAGCTGGGAGACTGAGGCAGGAGGATCACAAATTCCATATCAGCCTTAGCAACTTAGCAAGACTCAAAGTAACTAGTGAGATCCTGTCTCCAAAAAAAAATTTCTGGGGATGTGGCTCAAAAAAAAAATATGTCATCAGAAAACAAAATTAAAAGACAAATGACAAGCTGAGAAAATACAACATAGTAAAGAGTAAATTGCTACATATCAACAAGAACAATTTTAACAAATGGATAAAATGGGAAAGGTAATTCACAAAATAATAACAACAAATAGACAATAAATAAGACAGGGAATATTTAATATCACAATAATAAAGTAAATGCAAATTAGAGCATAATACATTTTTTATTTGTTCTAATTTGTTACACCTGATAGTAGAATGTACTTTGACTCATTGTACATAAACTTCCGGTTCTTCCGGTGGAATATAATGTAGAATCACACCAGTAGTGTATTCACATATGCACACAGGGTAAAAACATTGTAATCAACAACCTAAAAGATACTACTCAAGGAGAGAAAAACTGGGAGGGTAGCTTTTCTGGGAAACAATTTAGCAATAAGTTGAAACAATTTCCTTTGACCTAGTAATTCAACTCATGATTCTAGGTTCAGGAGTTCATCAGAAAGGTGAACAATTTTTATATATAAGAAGCATACTTTAGCAGTATAAAAATTCCTCAGAAAACTTGGAATGCAACCACCATTTGACCCAGCTATCCTACTCCTCGGTTGATACCCAAAGGACTTAAAAACAGCATACTACAGTGACGCAGCCACAATAATGTTTATAGCTACTCATGGAACCAACCTAGGTGCCCTTCAACAGATGATTGGACAAAGAAACTGTGGTATATATACACAATGGAATATTACTCAGCCTTGAAGAAGAATAAAATGATGGTATTTTCAGGTAAATGAATGAAACTAGAGAATATCAGCCTAAGTGAAATAATGCAATCCCCACAAAAATCAAAGGCCAAATGTTTTCTCTGATAAGCAGATGCTGATCCATAGTGGAGGATGGGAGGGAAGAATGAAGGAACCTTTGATTGTGCAGAGGGGAGTCAAGAAAGGGGTGGGGCTGTGGAGATGGAAGGATGGTAGAATGAGGTAGACATTATTACCCTATATACATGTACAATTATACTTCTAGTGTGCCTCTACACCATGTACAGTCAGAGGAATGAGAAGTTGTGTGATATTTGTGTACAATGTGTCAAAATGCATTCTACTGCCATGTAGAATTGAAAAGTTTTTAAAAAGAAGCACAATCATAAAACTTTAAAAGAGAAACAATATAGACAATCAAGAATTCTAAAAAGTAGGGGCTGGGGTTGTGACTTAGTGGTAGAGTGCTCACCTAGCATGTGTGAGGCCCTGGGTTTGATCCTCAGCACTGCATAAAAATAAATAAATAAAATAAAAGGTATTGTATCCAACTATAAAGAAATACATAAATATTTTTTAAAAATAGTTCTAAAAAGTATATTATACCACCTTCTTGATGCTATCGTTAAAATCAACTATATACAAAAAACCAAATATATATATATATAAAGCTATCATTAAAATCATGTTTAAATATCTATGTCTACCTCCATATATAGGTAGGTGATGGGGATTGACTCCTGGGCCTTGGGTATGCCAAATTCCTCTCTACCACTAAGCTACGCCCCAGCCCCTAAAATCATATATTTTTGAAGGCTATTGTCATTGGGAGAAATGCTTAAAATACAATATAAGCTGGGAAGAAAAGTTTAAATTTTATGCATGCTGAAGACAGAAAATTGCCTCTGGGACAAGGACTGGAGAAAGTGGGGGATTCCGCACATTTTACTGTTCTCTCTTTTCAGTAAGTAATAGTACTGGCTACACTACTAATGATAATTTGAATGATTACTTCATGTCAAATATTGTTCTAAGTACTTATATCTCACCTAATCCTCACAATAATCTCAAGGTAAGTACTATTCTCATACACCCTCTTTACAGGTATGAAAACTGAGGCATAGAGAGGTCTAGGATTTTCTAGGATTCAAGTGTGGAGTTTTTTAAAAATGTTTTTAAGTTGTCAATGGAACTTTATTTTATTTATGTATATGTGGTGCTGAGGATGGAACCCAGCACCTCACACATGCTAGGCAAGCACTCTACCCACTGAGCCACAATCCGAGTCCATCGAGTGTCGAATTTTGACACTAGAGTCTTTTCCTCTTCAACTATTACAATAGGCTACCCCCTCTACATATTTATCAGAAGTTTGTTGTACTGGGCTTATGAATTAAGAAACTGATCTTTGCCCTGATGGTTCCTTCTTCTCAGAGAACTCCACCTACATAACTTCCTGATCTCAAATCCTTGCTTGTCACTTTCACAGTGAGTCTTACTCTGCCCACCCAGCTCAAAATTGCCCCCTCCTCTGTTTTATCTCCTCCTCTTTTTTCCCCACAGAATTTAGCCATGGTTTTATACTGTTTTCAGATTCACTGTGTTACTTCTGATCCCTACTGATAAATGAGCTGCAGTAGGTCAGGGTTTTTATCTGACATGTATCACAGCCCCAAAAGGCCCTGGCACAAACTAGATGCACGATAAATACTTGTGAAATAAATTCAGTTGTTTGTTTGTTTGTTCGGGATCAACTCCAGGCCTCACATATGTAAAGCCTGAACTCTGAAACTGAGCTATATCCCAGCCCTAAATGAAGTTTTCAAAACCCACTACAGTCTGGGGTGAAGCAGCTTGGGTTCAATACCCAGCATTAAAACAATGATTTCAACTTTATTTAAAGCATCAACATGTGCACACATGTACATGGGGGTAAAGTATTTCAAAATTTTAATGGTGATTACAGGTGAATTTTTTTCCTTCATGTTTTTCTGTGGGCTTATTCCCAAAATTCTACGTGAAAAAAAATTTTTATTTTGTCTTGCTTGAGAATGCTGCTTTTGAAAGCACCTCTTTTAAACCTCAAGTCACGTACACTGCCAGGTACAGAATTGTTTTTGCTGTAAATTCCAAGAAGCCGTTCCTGTGTGAAATGCATTAGAAAATTGGGAAGATATTGATGGTTTTTCAAAAAATATATTGCTTTTTTTTAATGGTAGTTAAATTGCTTAAAGGAAATTATATCCATGCCTCACCAATCAACCTCGGCATCCTTGGGGAACACGCCCACCTAGCAACCGGGAGCGGAGCTGAAGCGCTTGCTCGGCCTTTAATTCCGGGTTTGGGGTGGGGGGGACGGTGGAGAATTTCCGCTCCCCCATTCCCTCCGCGGCGCCAGTGGCAGCTGTCACCTGTAAGGCGAGCACCGCGCACGGGGCATGGAGCCCGGCGCCCATTGGACAGAATATAAAGACAGAAATCCAGCCCCGAGGCTGGGGGCCCGGCGGGGCGCTGGCGGGGGCCCCTCGCCGCGGCCCCCTGTGCCCTCGGCCGGGAGGCAGCCTGGCCCCACGGCGCAGGCGTGACCGAGCTCCTTCTTCGGGGACCATCACCAGGTGAGCCAGCCGCGGCGGACTTCACTCCCGGAAACCCGGATCCCGCGTGTCCCGGGAAGCGCCGCGGCGTCCACCTGCCCCGCAGCGGGGACCCGGGACCCGGGGGAGGCGGCTGCCGCACTTTCCCTCCGCGGCTGGGCCGGACCATGGCGCTGGCCGCTGCCGCTGCCGCTGCGGCCGCCGCTGCCGGGGTGAGCCAGGCGGCAGTGCTGGGCTTCCTGCAGGAGCGCGGCGGGAAGGTGCGCAACTCGGAGCTGCTGAGCCGCTTCAAGCCGCTGCTGGATGCCGGCGACCCGCGCGGCCGCGCAGCCCGCAGGGACCGCTTCAAGCAATTCGTCAACGACGTGGCGGTGGTGAAGGAGCTGGACGGCGTCAAGTTCGTGGTGCTGAGGAAGAAGCCTCGGCCCTCGGAGGGACCAGAGCCCCTGGCCCCCTGCATCCCTGGGGCACTGACCCCGCCGTCGAAGGCCACTTCCGTCTCGCTAGGGGAAAACTCTGGCCCAGGAGCTGCGCTCTCGGCCTCCGCGCAGCCGTCCATAGAATCACCGGAGGACCCGGCCCCGCCATCAGAGCTCCAGGACGCCCCCGGGGATCCGGCCCCTGAACCCACCCAGCCCACTGGGGTGCCATTGTTAGGCTCGGCCCAGCACCCCGAGGATCCCGCGGACCCCCGGGTTCCAGCCTTTGAGCTAGCTCTGTCCTCAGAAGGCTCCTCCGCGGAAGTGGCCTCGCCGGTTAGCACGTCGGAGGAGGAAACCTCTCCCGGCGCAGACCTGGAACCTGGACCCAGGACCGCGAAAGGGCCGCCGCCACCCGCTCCGCGCGCGCTGCCGCCGAAGCCCTGCATGCTGCCCGTACGCTGCGTCCTGGGCCCCGCCACGCTCCGGGTCCGAGCAGAGGAGCAAGGCCTGCGCCGGCAGCTGTCGGAGGAGCCCAGCCCTCGGAGCTCCCCGCTGCTCCTGAGGCGGCTCTCAGTTGAGGAGTCGGGCCTGGGCCTCCACTTGGGCCCCAGTCGTTCCCCGCACCTAAGGCGCCTGTCGCGCAGTGGCCCGCGTCTGCTGAGCCCCGACACCGAGGAGATGCCCACCGCGCCGCCGCCGTCCGCCGTGCCCCTGGAGCCTACTGAGCACGAGTGGCTAGTGCGGCCGGCCACTGGCCGCTGGACCCACCAGCTTCACGGGCTGCTGCTGCGGGACCGCGGCCTAGCTGCCAAGCGCGACTTTATATCTGGCTTCACCGCCCTACATTGGGCGGCCAAGAGCGGCGACCGTGAGATGGCGCTGCAGCTGGTGGAGGTCGCGCGTCGTGGTGGCGCGCCAATCGACGTGAACGCGCGCTCGCATGGCGGCTACACACCGCTGCACCTAGCCGCTCTGCACGGCCACGAGGACGCCGCCGTGCTGTTGGTGGTGCGTCTGGGTGCTCAAGTGCATGTCCGTGACCACAGCGGACGTCGAGCCTACCAGTATCTGCGTCCTGGCTCCTCTTATGCGGTGCGACGCCTGCTTGGTGACCCAGGCCTGCGAGGAGCAACCGAGCCAGATGCTACCAGTGGTGGAAGTGGTAGCCTTGCTACCCGGCATCCAGTGCAAGTGGCCGCCACGATCCTCAGTTCCACCACCAGCGCGTTTCTGGGTGTCCTGGCCGACGACCTGATGCTCCAGGACCTGGCCCGTGGCTTGAAGAAGTCGAGCTCTTTCAGCAAGTTCTTGGGCGCCTCGCCCATGGCTCCGCGTAAAAAGACAAAGATCCGTGGTGGCCTGCCAGCCTTCTCAGAAGTCTCTCGTCGACCTGCACCGGGGCCTTTAGCTGGTTTGGTGCCCAGTCTGCCCCCGGCAACCTGAAGATCCATGGGGCTATGGCCTGGTTGGTCTACCTGGGCTCGCCTCATAGTCTAAGTGTGCCCAAGAATGGGGCTCAACACTTGTTTCCAACTTTGTCCACTGCAGCCTGTTTTATCCTTATGGGCCTGCACTTCCAGCCTCTGTTTGAAACCTGATCTGTCTGATTGAGATCTCAGTGAAAGGCTCCTATGAAGAAACCAGCCTTCAGTCCTGAACTCTGGAGGAGACTTAAAATTTAGGATCAAAGGTTAAGGGGCAGCAGCTGGTCTGGCCCCTGAATGAGCTAACCAGATGCCTCTGAATCTACACACTCCCAAGCCAGAACTAGAGCAAGGGTCTCTTTGAATGTTCAAAGATGTTGGGTTATTTGTCAACTTTAAGATATGTAGTGGTTTTGTAATTTGATGCTTTTATTCTGTTTTTAAATTGAAATGAGGTAAAGCAACTTTCATAATAACCTTTTAAAACTATATTTTTCCATTTTTAGGCAAAGAGCTCAGACATTTTCAATCTTTTGCTAAATATTTTGGAATTCCATTTTAAAACAAATAGAATGCTCAAGATCTAAAGGAAATTAGTCCCAACCAAGAAAACTCTTAAAAGTTCATCTACCTCATTTTAGTCAATCATGATTCTGGGGAGTCTTGAACACAGAATAACTATTGTGACCCATATGAATGTAACTAATTGCAGTTGTACTGTGAATGCTAAATATTAAGAAACAAGTGCATCTTGGGAGTAAACATGATTTAACAAAGATAGAAAAGAGACATTTTGGGAATACTTATGGTGAAATGTAAATGTATGTTTGGCACTCACAGGTGGCTATTCTGATTTGGCATGAATATTTAGTTTTCTTAAATTGTGATCTCTTTGTGAATTATGCCTTAGTGCCACATTTCTGAATCTGTGATTTTCACACCTTGCTAAACCTTTCAGTGCAGTGGGTGAATATTCAAAGGAAAAAAAGTTATAACATCATACCAGAAAAACAACTGATTAAATAGTAATTGATGCAATTAAGGAGTAACTCTTTTACTTGAAAATCCTGAATAAGCAAAAAGTATGTGAATCTATTTTTAAAAAAAAATTGAAAGTAGACAATTTATTCTAAAATAACATGTAGAAGAATCTTTGCTCAGTGACATTGAACTGAGAACTTAATTTCTCTGGACCTTTGTTTCTATCTGTAAATTGAGAAGGCTTGTAGATATCGCCAAGATTTCCCAGGTTTGGCACAGGATAATTATAATGGTACATTTTCTATTTCAAAGATGTCAAATCTATTTGCTCAGTCAACTTTTTTATGTCATATCGTGATAATGGTCTGCTTTTGCAAATTATGTTTGCATGTCATTAGTTATATCAAATGATTTTTGTGGCAGAGAGTAGTAGGGCTTTCCCTCTTCTTCAGTATATATCATGAGGCCTTTGAAGTTATTTAAGGCAAATCATTCATGGAATGTTTTGATTTAAGCAACAAAATAAACAGACAGCATTTTATTCACGTTTTTGTGAGATATACTTCCCTTAAACATTATTCAGCTTTTGCTACTGTGTTTTTATTTTCTTTTTACCTACTTTTTTCTTTTCCACCCTCATTCTTCTACTTCTTTCAAGCATTCTATTACTGAAAGAATTTGGATTTCTCTCCAAACTAAGAGTCAACCACACATAGTTACAGTAGCCAAGAGCTGTGGATAAATACAGGCCCTGATCTGACCCTTCATTACCTTCCTTGTGTGGAACTCTAACTAGTCTGCATAAATTATTTTAAAAGGCAAATTAAATATTCTGCCTCTTAAGAAAAAAATGTGGGAGGCAATAATTATAGCAATTTTAGTAGCTGAAGATCTAAAAGAATGAAATATTAGAGATTTTCTATGATAAAGAAGATATTTGATTGAGACAGGATAACAGATCACAGACACAGATATCACTTGCCTTGAGAGACAAAAGCTAAACTAACACTAATAATTAAATAGTTTATTACATACTTACATCAGAAAAGTGTTATTTGAATGGCCAAAGGAATCCCTGTGTTTCTAAAGAGTGTCCAAGCAAAATAAAACATTTGGCAAGAATTAAGGATTGGTAAACCTAAAACTCAGGTGTTAGAAAACCACTGTTATTTTATTTCAGACCAGGACATTCTGAAATTATAAAGTAAGACAGTAGAAAATATATATATATAGAGAGAGAGAGAAAGAGATTTCAAGAACCATATATTCATATATTTAATAATTTTTTAAAAAGAACTATATATTGCCCAGCAATAGGCTCTCCTCTAGAAGGGCATTCCCAAAAATGAACTGTTAAGGCTATTTAGGTGGTAAAATTGTCACAGAGAGGATAATGACTCCTTTTAATGGGAGAGAAGTTAATCGTTGATATCGAGGTGCATGAGTCATATCCATAACAAACTTTCTAATAAATTTTTACATTTCCCATATGGAGATTAAGGTATTCTTGAGCAAGTCTCATTCACCTAATGGAGATCTAGGGTAGGGATAATACATACAACGTAAGCCATGTACATTAAGCAAGTGCCAGGCACAACTCTAAATATTTAACCAAACCTTATAAGGAATATAATTAATATCTTGATTGTAAAATGAGGGAACTGAAACTTTTAGTAACTTGTTAGGGCCTCACAGCTAGTAATGACAGAGTTGGGGTGGCATCCCTGTGTTCTTTTCCATTACCCTGTCTAGAAGCAAGGTGGTTTCAGCCCCTTACTCACTTAGGGACCTTGAGCAAATCACCCAATTCTCCAAGCTCACATCTCCTTCCTCTGTGGGACTTATGATGCAGTACCTATTCTAATGGGCTGTGGGGAGGGAGGAACTTATGGAATAAGTAAGGCTTTTCCTGAATTCCATTGCCAACTGGAGATATTACAAGGGTACTGAGTTGGTTCCACAGTGTACATGCCTACATTCCAAAACTATATAGCACTGGTTTATGGATTTACTCTAATATGATCACCATTTTTTTTACCATGTCAGCATTTGCATACATAAATTAATTCACTGAACTAGGAAAAAACATATTCCCACAAAAAGGAAATTATCCTGTTCTGTATATAATATCACTTTAGTTAAAATAGAAGCCTCAGGGCTGGGGTTGTAGCTCAGTGGTAGAGTGCTTGCCTAGCACATGTGAAGCACTGGGTTGATCCTCAGCACCACATATAAGTAAAAGTTAAAAACATAGAAACAATTGTCTTTCTTAGCCCATACTGCTCTAGTAACCAACCTATGACACCTAAACTATTGCCCAGGATGGAGGGGGGGTGAAACCCCTGAACACAGGGTTATAAGTCTAGACCCACCCAGGATCCATATTCCCCCCCCCATTTTTTACTTTTACCTGAAGAAACTCTGTGACCATTGAAAATGGTTTCATAAATAGATTCTCTATGGCTCTGCAGAGAGCCTTTTGCCTTGAACTGGCCTAACTCCTCTGCACTTGACTCTAGGAAGCCTGGGTAGCTGGATGTGTGCCTACCTGCAAGAGGAGAGAAGGGAGAAAGAAATGCAGACCTCTCCCACATAGGAAAAAAATTCCTGCTACTGGGAAGTGCGTGTTCATTTAAATATCAAAGACAACAGACAAGTGATTTTTGTGACCTTTGAAGAGCAGCAAGGCTAAAACAGTAACACTACGGGGCCTGGGGGAGGATTTCTTCATAGCAAGTACCCCTCTGCCTCCCCACGTCCCCAAATTCCCCTTTCACCTCTTCTCTTTAAAGTCCTCAACTACATTTGACCTAAATTTGCTCTTCAGCTTCTGATTTACATCTGAATGAACAGCACGGCAATTTGTTCCAGAGAGGGTCCCTGAGGTTTACGCCAGTCGCTCAGGGAGGTACTTTGTGTGCCGAGCAGGATGTTCAAGACAGATTGCTCACTGGTTTGGAGCACCGCGGAACACTGCTTCCCCATTCTGCTTCCAATTTACAGTCTGAAGGTAAAAAGTACACTAATTAAATCCTTATTAGGAGGAGCAGCGGGGGCGGTGCGAGGCGAGCAGGGGAGGCGGCCGCGGGGCTGCCTGTTGCCGGGCAACCACTCCAGCAGAAGCCGAAGCTCCTTCAAGGCCCCAGGGCACCGTCTCAGGCAGCCAGGGGTGGGAAGCGACCAGGAGTCACGGACGCGGGCGGCTAAAGCGTGGGGCGGCAGAAACCCCAATTGCATCTCGTGCAACACTCTTTTCCACCCTGGGAATCTGCTCAAGGCCTATTGTAATACCGATGCTCAGGATCAACACCCCCGGCTTTCCTCCCCTGCACTTCTCATTAGCCAAGCACTTTCCAGCAGAGACCTTGTGGCAAAGGAGAGTGAGCCAGCCTTTCCCTGCTTAGCTAGCCAGAATTTCCTTCTGACAGAAGCAAAGGCTCAGCTCCAGTTTTCAGGCCCATTAGGGCCACTGCTCTGCAGGACATGACAAAGTCCTAGTGGCTTGACCAGAGTTTGCTAGCTGGAGAGGCTGAGGGTGATAACGGTGGGGGGTAGCTTTCACCTTAAAGAGAACAGTGCCCTCTGCTGGCAGTGTCCTGGAGGGTCAATTCACCGGACTTCAGGTCCCCCAAAAGTCTTGAGGTCTGTGTTGGCAATACAGAACATCTCTGAACAACTCATTCTTGCTCTCTGAAGGAATAACAGCATGGAAGTGAGGAAAATCGGCAGGAAGGACAGGCAAGACAGAAGGACCAGAGCAGAAAGAGTGGCCCTACTCTTGAGCTAGCAGGATTGAGCACAGAAGCTTCATATTCCCCCATGGAAAGACCAGCACAGAACTAAAGTTCAGTTTCATCGAAAGATGGCAGATGCCCCTACCTCCATACCCATGCGTTCAATGCCTGACCCAGGCTGGAAGTCCTTTGTCTGAAACATACAATTCCCATTGGCCTAATAGACAACAGCGCTTAAATGTGTTTCTAAGAATACCATAATGGGAGAATGCAATGGAGAACTGTGCACGACAAAAAGGAAGAAATTAGTAGCTTCCGTCTATAATGCAGACTTGCTCAGCTGAGGACCTTGGAACTGAGACCCCGCCCACAGTGTTCAAAGGAGAGAAGCAAAGCATAATGTTAGAACCCGCAATGGCCTCAGCAGGAGCTCCATATGTTTTTTATAAGGAGGTACAATGTGAGCATTGTTCTGTGCTCAATAGCACGACTGTTATAACTAATGCTTTTGGTATGAATACAACCATTTAAAATTCCCAACCAGTTGCACTTAGTGACAATGCACATCAGAAAACAAGCTCAGAAGCAGAGATTTCTCACTTTAGGGTCAGTAGGCTTTAAATACACACTCATGCCTTTTAATGTGCCCAACTTCCAAAAATATCCTTAACCTTTGCAGAATAATATTCTTGTCTCTGGTGTTTGCAGCTATAATACTGAAACATTTTCACATGCACAATTGCAAACCTGATTCTATGTACATAGAGCTGATGCACAACTGGTGGGGACTTTGTTCTATGTTTCATACCACCTCAGCCCACCCCCAGATAATTCTCTTTGGTGTACAACTGCAGCTGCCTTTCCAGGTGCTCTGTCCCTGCATGGAGGGTTTCCAGATCCCACTCCTTCCTTTCAGTTTCTATCCTCAACTACCCTCACTGCCCTGGCTAACTCAGTGGGGGCCTCTGAAAAAGAACTGAATAAGCTCAGTTTTGTTTATTGAGGTGGAGTCTCACTATGTTGCCCAAACTAGTCTTGAATTCATGGTCTCAAGCAAATATTCTCATTTCAGCCTCCCAAATGCTGGTTCTAAAGATGTGGACCATGGTGCCCAGCTCCAAGTTTTGAACTGGAAGAGGAAAATTGTTTCTGAGTCTTGGGATGAATGTTCCCAAATATCCAAGTGTACTGGGCATTTGTAAAGGATTTTAGGCAGCAAAGATCTTTACCCATGTTCAATTTGGGGAAATTCCCTCTTCCTTGAATCTTAAAAGGAGATAGTACTCCAACTTCCATACTGAAGTTGAGAGGGTCTGCTTAAAACCAGCTAAGGAGACCTGGACTCAGCTGATCAGACCTAGGCTTTCGTGATAGTGATGCAGTCAACATAATAGCTAATTACTGTAATGGCAGTGGTATTTAGAGCCCGTTGTCTACCTGGCCCTTTTTACTTTCAATCCTGGTTATCCAGTCTTCCTAGACATTGCCAGACCTGATATTCTGCCAAGTCCCTCTTCTGCTCTGGTCAGCCAGGACTGGGGCTTGTAGGTATTAGGATTGAACCCAGGGCCTTGAGCCTTAAGCATGCTAAGCAAGCACTCTACCACTGAGCTACCACCTCAGCCCTTTTTAAACCTTCATCTTGAGACACAAATTGTCCGACTGGCCTTGAACTGTGATTTTCCTGCCTCATCCTACTGAGTTGCTGGGATTATAGGGGTGGGCCTACTCCACTCCCTGGTGGCTGCATTTATAAACAAGACCCCTTCCTTTTCCTCTTCTTTCCATTTGTGTGCAGGATGGATACACAT